ATCGACAGTATTGACTCACACGTCAGTTCCAGATATAGGGCGCGCCTTCCGAGGATACATGATCAAACGAAATTGTTGGGATCTTTTACAGAAGTTAATTAAACCACTGAAATTTTACACAGCTCGTTCTTTATCAAAAAAGAATTACACCGTTTTTATGCCGAGCAAAATAATAAATCAAACGCGAATGGTCGTGAAGGTTAGAGAGTTTTAGTATTATAATGCAGTTAAATGCAAAGGTGCAAGCGAGCTGGACAAGGATGGTGAAAATAATCTTTGGAGAAGGGAACAAGAGGGCCAAAGGACAAACACAAGTAGATCTTTCTATGACTCCAAAAACGATCTACTAAGACTACATATTGAAACAAAAGCAGGACTACTATTAGAAGCTCGCTTGCAGTGCACTTACGAATAAGCAACGATATGATTCAATTTCTGATAGATGCATAATCCGACTGGGGCAGCACAGAGCAACGCAGACACAAAGTCGAGAAAGATGATCTCCCCCATTCAACGAAAGCTTCGCTGTCGCCAAAAGAGCAGTTCTTTCTCGAAGGGCGTCCAACAAACACAGCACGAGAATTCCACGCACTCCGACGTAGAAAACGGCCATTACCAAAAAGTTGGCTTGGACGTATTCCAGACGTTTTCGACGAAAAACCACGGCCGAGTCTGCAACGCACGAAACCAAGAGAACACTGAAGAGCGCGTTTCGGAAACCGTACCTACGTAACCCCTACACCAATCCCCATAACTTGGCAAGTTACGGTCCCAATGATCTCACCACCGCGTCAGAGCGAGTCACGTGACAAATTTCCGTCCAAGCGATTTTCTTCTATAGAGAGCGGTCACATGTTTCGCGCCACACTTCTAATTTGCTTGAAGCAGCGGTCCAGCTCGCTTGGAGCCACACGAAGACACAAAATATCGTGGGGAGGCTTAACAAAAGGCGAGGTCGAAGTGGGTAGATAATGCAGGTAAGCTCCCTCTCGTTTCTTTGTCTGTCCTCCTTGAGATAAAAGTAAACAAATTGTGTTTTGCTTATTTTTTATTTTTTTTCAAATTCGGTTCTAAGTTGGTCAAAAAATTCAAATAACTGGCCACCATGGCCAATTCACAAACGACACTCCCCACACTAAACGGGTACGGTATGTCAGGATGGCGTCGGCGCTACCCTATCTGATACTTGACAGATATCGGCTAGATCAAAACAGTACCGGCACAATTTTTCCAACTTGACGCAAATATCGGCGCAATACTGTGTGCTGCCTGGGAACATTTTATTTCAAAGCGATATTCTATAGAGCAACCCTGCATGAACCTCCCTTGCCCGTGTTGATGTTAGTCGCACCGCACAATCGTTGGTCAACAAAAATGCAATAAAAAAAGGCTCAAGGTACACCTAAGCACTTCTTATGAGTTGTGAATGCGAAAACATGCACGCCGTTCTTGCACCTCCCTCCTCTCGTCTGCGGCGCACGTGCGTACGGTGCGTACGTGCGTCGAAGGTCGAGCGCGCGCTCAGTCCTCGGCGCGCTGACCTTGGGCGTGGAGCGGTCGAACCGTTGCCTCGCGGACACGAAGCGCCATGGGGTGCCGGTCGTTCAAACTGACACGCAGTGGCCAATGCGAGGCTCGTCGACGCGCGCAAGCCAATGGACCCGAAGCCGAAATCTATCAGCTTTACTCCGCTCCTTTCGAATCGAGGAAACTATGTGTCGTTTGGCTAGGCTTTTCACGTAGTTTCACAGCTGGGAGCTGGTTTCACTTGGAGAAAGGAGTCAAGGTGCCGTTTGGCGCGGCTTCAAAGCTCATGACGTCGGCTCGCTCTATGGGACAGCTATTGTTTTCGCATTAAAATACGTCCTTTATAACGTTCATGACGAATCTGCTACGCCTAAAAAGTAATCAGTAGTTCTACTTCCTCGCGATGTTCTTGGGGTTTTGGTGAATCTCTAAGTAAAATCCATGCATGAAGGGCAGACAATCGTCTTTAATCATCGACTAAAGACTCGTTCACATCGTTACGTTTGAGTGCGATTTAATACGTCACGATCACATGTGGTTGCTTACGACGATAGAACAGACGTGCACAAGAGCGCCATCTTTCCGGCAACCCCGAAACAACTACAATCTGTGTATCTCTTGTCCTGTGTGCTTCTTCGCCTTTTTTTCGTTTTTGTTTCTCGCTATTTTTAATATAAATAGACCAAAGCCTTTGCCGTGCTTGTGACATGTACGCGCCTCTCTTGAAAAACGGTCATTTACAACATTTTCATAATTATTTTAAGTCCCTGACAAGAGAAACACGCGTAAGAATGCGGACATGTAGGTATATTATTCTATGCGTACCCAATAGACGGCGTCAGCGTGTTATCTCCGATAGAGTTCCTGTATATAGCTACCTACGGTAGCAGAGTTGCGCATTCAGCCGCGGCGGGTGGACGTAGCGCCGGCTTTCCCGCACGCCCTGGATGCTTTGCTCCTCACGTTACTAAATTTGGCGACTAGCGGCGCCGCGCGTGCCGCCGCGCATGGAAAACAGGAGAGGATAAAAAGGAGGCGGAAAGCAGGGGAACATACGCCGGGGCGCGAGCAACGTCGGCGGAGCGACCGTAAAGGCGGCTTTCTTGCATGGCGCCGGATGCTTTGCTCCTCACGTGATGGATGCCGCCAAATAGCGGCGTGGCGGCGAGGGGAAAAGAAATGCGCAACTCTGCTCCCCCCTCGGGGGAGCATAGCGAGGAACTCTAATCTCCGAGTAAGCGGCCACAACCGAGACAAGTTGTCCTATCAGATCCAGTGACCGGTTCCCGCGTGGACTGGGCCTACGAGAAGGCGGGAGTGACGAAGAGCTTCGCTCTCGAGCTTGAGCCAGGAAGTAGCTCGCCCGATTCCAACAAGGGTTTCCTTTTTCCCCCCCAAGTACATCCTGCCCACGGTCGAAGAAACCTGGGCAGGCATCCGCGCTGCCATTGGGCCCCCTAAACATGTCGTCATGGCGCAGTGCACACACTTTCTAGAGTAACTGATAATTTATTAAGAAAAAACAAAACCGCACGGCGCGGCGGGCATTGAACATCTCGGTGTCACTGCGCACTCAATGAGACAGCCGAATTAACCGAGAAAAAGGTCGAAAAGCGAATGGCGATACAAAAAGACTGAACATGAATAATCCACAGCCGAGTTTATTTGCTCGAAGAACAAAGAGATAGCCAATCAAGGCGAATGATAGAAGGATCTCAGCAAATCAAAAAGCTCAAAATGTGATTAGATAAAAAAAAAAAAAGAATGCCATGTGCACAGTGCAACGAGCCTGACCTGTCACTCGCTCAATGTCCCTGGGCACATTGCATTTGTCAGTTCAAATTATAATCCGAGCATCTTCATACGCCGAGATCCTTCTATTTTTTACCCCGATTGCCTTTTCTCGTGTTCCGCGCGAAAGAGAACTCGCAGACTAGTTTTTAGAGTGTATAGTTTATGGTGAGATCGGCGGTTCGCAACGCGAGCAGGAACGTCGGCGTCCGTCGAGAGTACCTCGACGCTTGCTAGCTGCGCCTGTCACTAGATAAACGAGCAATGTAAACGAAAATATCGGGATACGTCTGAAATAAAAAAAAAGCGGGTTTCTCTTATCGCGAAAATAAACTATGCATTACCGTATGCTCAGTTTCTGCCTTTACGTATAGTGCTAGCCGCCCGGACCAAATGCCAAGGTGTCAAAATTTTGCCCGGTGTGATTCAAAAGTTGTCGGTCATCTTTCTTTTTTTTTTTATTTCTCGTGACAAAATAAGCCGCGTTTTCTCGTCGTTCATCTCCATCTCGCTGATATTGTTTTCTTCTTTTTTGTCTTTAGTTTTCGACGACCTTATCACTCGCAAGAAAATGTTGGCTTCTTTCCTCTTTTGCTTTTTTCTCGAGCCTGACTGGCGAAACGCGCCCTTCTCGAAGCCTCAAAAAGTCGATCTCGTGACGAAATAAACCGATCGTTCTTCCGGCAGTGGAGTTGTTCGCTTTTTTCAGTCAGCAGTTCGTGAAAAAGGTAATTAGCGAGTTCCACGCAAAGCTCTTGCTTTCGCTGTTCTAAAAGTCACTATTATCGAGTTTTAAGCAAATAAACAAAAGCTTTGCATACGCAAAAAAAAACAAATAGCGTACGCTATTCTTCTTCGTAGGACGTGCCCCACAACGTACACCTCTCTCACTTGGACAGCTCCATAAATTGGACAGTCCAAGGATGCACTCGAGCTTAGCCAGGCTCCACTACCATTTCCGCTGTGGGTGTGTTTCGATTCGGAAATTATCCGGGCAGCTTCCTATAAGGTGAACATATAACGCTCTGCAATCTTAATGGAAGAAATTGCCCGGTATACAAATCTGTTTGCTTTTTGAACCGTTAACTACGGTGCCTGGATTGCCTTTCCGACTGCACTGTTTTCAACGCACATATCTATGCGGTTCCTTTGGCCTTCACATCGTGACGTCACAGTTGTGGAACGCTGCGGTTTGCCGAGATTCTGGCTGTCGTGCCCTCTGTAGTAGCTTGATCAACGGCCGGTCAATCTTCAGAAAATCCAACACACACGCTTGGGAAGCCCCATGAGCATACCAATCATTTTGCCCAATTCTTCCCAAAATTATAAAGTCGCGCTGGTTGCGGAACGATAAGAAGCTGCTTGGAACTCGTCAGGCCTCGAAGTTTCTGAAGCTGTGAGTGCATAAGCTTTTGCAATAAAATCCCATTAAAATCCCAAGTACCCAATGCCTTGAAAAGTTCTGACCATTTATCTTCAAACAAAAAGAACTGTCGAAATGAAACAAAGCAAAAAAATGCAGCCCTTTTATTCTTTTAATTCAAGATTTATGTAATTCGACACTGATAACTGTTGCATACTTTCTAATCCCGTAGAGTTTATCTCGATTTCAGACTAGCTTAGGTATAAACAAAAGCAAAAGCGTTATGCTTCCTTTCGCGAGCGCTGTGTGCGGTTTTCTCTCAGTAAGCCATGGCGACACCCCCACATCTTTGATCTGCGCCGCACCAGAGAACGCCATCCCCAGTCCCGTGGCCATCTGATCCACTCGTCTCTGGGTCCCACCACCTGCCCCTGGCGATGACGTGGACGTGGCCCATGTCCGATCTATCGATGCCGCTGACGACCTGTTTGAAAGCGTGGCGTCTTTGCTTCAGGCACTCGATTAATTCAGCGTCGACGTCGTCTTCCACCGCGAGTGGGTCACTGAAATGAAAAGAAGAGGGCCTAATGTACGGAAGTTCGTTAGGAGGATAGGCACTTGTACGATTGGAATTAACATGTACCTTACGTCCGTTTTATTTAATCTGGCTCGTTAGAGAGTGACAGTAGGGTGCAATCTCAAGACGACACAATTTACACTTTTGGACCTGGGCACTACGTAGCATACAATCCTATACAGGTCCATAAAATAAACGTGTAAAGGGTAAATACCTTCTTTAACGAAAATAATCCCTGGAGAAGGGAAATAAGAGGGACAAAAGTACAAACACAGCTCGGTTTTCGTCATTCTTGTCCAGCCCGCTCGCACCTTTGCATTTACTTGCATTTTAATAATAACCTCCTTTAATTCGGCATCATCTCCTTTGCGCTACATTGTTAAGGCTTGCCTAACGACCATAGTGCTCCCACACTAAAAAAGAAAACTTCTCGGCGTAAACTATTTTGTGCTACGTCACCAAGGCTAGGTTAGCCTCCCCTCTACGGTACTCCAGCTTTGTCAATGCTTTACTTGGTTTCAGCTTACGTCCAAACGCAGCCGACGCTACGGGGTAACGGAAGCAATCAATCGGCGTGAAAAGCGCCATTCAATGGGCCATTTTTCCGATGATGAATTAACCTGAGACTGGGCAAAACATAGGACGGGCAGAAAATGGGCAAGACGACACCTAAAAGTAGACAGGACGACGGAGGAAGTTGTGGCCTTCAGATGTCGTTCTGTCCATCTTTTGTCCCTTCTACGCTTTGATGTTTCTCTTCTACTCCCGGCTCAGGTTACTTCAACGTGGTGAGTATTCATCAGCTCGCCTGCACCCTTACTGTATTTTCTCCAGGGCCTTCGATGTTTAGCAATGGTTCAGTGATGATCGATCACGTACAGAAACATGACGAACACCATGATGGTGCGCTTTTAACTCCCTCTGATCGATCCCCTCTGCTTCATAGCGTCGACTACGCCAGGACTTAAACGGATACTGACAGGGTACTTATGCTCGCCGATGACTTTAGTTGCCCGTGACATATGAGAGCGCAAGTACCCAGAATACAATTGGCAGCTCGAAATTGTTTCTTTCCGCTCCAATACCCCCAATTGAAAACTGGTCGGTTTGAGTCACGCTCACTTTCTTCTCTGTGGTCACGAGCCGTTTTCTAAGGTTTAGACACGACCACCAAATTTAGTCAAACTAGTGGGTCATTGAAGGCACACGCTCAATATCAAAAATAGAAAGAAAGCTGAAACCCATTTTTTGTGGCTTCTAAAATCTGCAAATACGTTGATTGAAAACAAAACGTTGCACAGAAAACCGGAAGCCTTCTGTGCGTTCACCGCGTAATTCTGTACATGGCGTCGCATCGCGTACCGTGGGACTCGAGGGCTGGGCACGGATGGAACTGGGCAAAGCAGCATCGGGGCACTCTTGGAAGAAGAAAAGAACTTGTTTGGAGATGGCTGGGAGCAGCAAAAACGAGGTCCTGGGGGAAGTTGGAAGCAGCATACAAGTTGTAAGTATGCTCAAATAGAGGCAAAATGTCACCTGGTTCTCGAAACTCGAGGAACTATGTCATTCAGATAACTTCATGTGAAGTTAGCGGTAGTTTCAATTAAAATTTTATTTGAAACACTTTTTTTCAAAATTACGTGAAAATTACACAAAACATGTTAAGCAAAACTTGTGGGATCTTGCTACCAACACAGGTACCGATAGAGCAACCAAAGGGTTGTCTCAACAGTGGCGGCAATCTCAAAGGAGCCGTCAAACCTAGTAGCGCGGTCACCATATCTCCGCGGCAATGTAGACGACGTCTGGGGCTACATTACCGAGGGTCGGTTCGATTAATTACCTCCGTCGGTGCCAATGATCGCCTACCTTGTCTCACTCTCTCGAACATAGCGGAAGAGAAGACACACGTACCAGAGTAAGGACAGAGTCCAAGAGCATTTATTAACATACTATTTTAAACGAACTACCATGTCCCCATCCAAAATGACCCCCGCGCCGGCAAGGTAAGAAAAGGTCCTTACCTGGCCAGACGCGGGGTTCCGGAGAGCCAAGACCGGGGAAGCATCGGGGAAGTCGCCGACACACGTCCTATCTCTTTCGCGGTCACCCGGACGAGTCCCTTTCCCGAATGCGGGAAAACAGGAGGCGAAACCTCCTCGCCTGTCAGCAGTGATCCGCATCCGAGCAGGAGGACGGAAAGAGGTGCCCCCGGGAGAGAGTGAGAGGAGAGCCCCCCAAGCCAGGCGGCCCTCCGCCTCACGAACAGGTCGGAGCTCACGGCGAAGGAGGCCGAGTGTTCCGACCCGCGGCCGTTACACAGCCATCGGGGAAGGGAGACCAGAGGAATCCCCACAAACTTTACGACAGTGTCACGCGTCATGGAACTGACTTGCAAAGAAGTAAATGTAAACAAACAGCTAGAAACAGCTTCCAGCTCGTACCTTGCTCTGTCCTAGGCCTCACTGCTCGCTCACCTTTGTTATGTTCCCAAGTTTTCCGTGCGAGGCCGCGGGGCGGGCCAACGCTGGCTGCGGGCTCGCAAGCACCCTTCCATAAAAGCTTATTGGTGCGCGTTCATTGCTGTGTTTGTGTGTTGTGTACGCACAGTTTCTGGCTGGCCGCAATTGCGAGCGAGCTCTGGTTGCACAGGGATTTTGCACGTGTGGACTGTGATTTATGGAAACAGTGGAAACGCCTATAGTCATGAATGTACAGTCAAGAGGGAGGTGCACAAAAACACATTTTAATTTATCTCAATACGGCGGTGCTGTTAGCTCTACTATTCAGATGATGTGACTCCAGGATTTCAGAAAAGCGCACAGCAACGGCAGTTATAGACGCTTTACAGCAGCTGTGCATGGGCGCCGCCATAACTGACCTTCAGTTTTTGTTCCCTCTTATTCCCTTCGCTTCACTTCATCATTACCCAGCAGGACAGGTTATTGCCACTTTAGATGCTACTGTGTTCTTGTGCCCAGCATAGGCCCTTGTGAAGACCCGTCAACGCCCGCTTCAGTGGCTCGGCATCTCGGTAAGACAAGAGAAGGGCGGCTATGGCGGCTCAATCTGGCGCGTGTGTAAAGCGTCTATATTTTGTCTCAATTATTCATGTCCAGACGCAGTCGATGCTACAAGCGCCAGTCTGTACGAGCGCGCGTTCTTGGCAGGGACACTGAAAGTCCGGTCCTCGCGCTTGTTGCATCACATAGACGAGGCAGAGGTACAGCGAATGGCTTCAAGGTGGTCTGGGAGCAGAAACATTGCAATGAGGGATGCTGTAACAACTTTTTATAAGTTGAAATCAACGTTACTAGATTAGTTCAGTTACGGAACTGCTCATAGACGCTGCATGTACAAGCAGTACCCCCCCCCCCCCCCCCCCCCTCACTCACCGAGACTCGCCTGCCGTCACTCGACGCGCCGGACGGCTGCTTTGGTAACTGCAGCGTATTCTATGGAATGCGTGCGATACGAAGCACGGCCTCTGGATGGAATTTCAGCTCTGCTTTTTGGAACGCACACTTATGAAACAAAAATCTTGATGGCGCTTCGAACGACGGCAGGCGGAATGAAGTGAGTGAGGGGGAGGGGGGGGGGGGGGTGCCGCTTTTCACGTGAGTTCCACAGCTGAGGTAAACTAGTAACGTTGGCTGAAACGAAGTAATAACCATGGCAGCGACCTTTGGATACAAAGCTTCGGATTCGAATCCAGCAGCGCTCCCTTTGGGCCCGAAGTTCCGATGTGAAAGTTGTCAACAGCAACTGCGAGACAGCCACTTTCGACGAGGCTGGTTTATAACTTCAGTTTGGGCGCACCTCGGCGCAATTTCGTTCTCATTTATTATTTTGTACCAGTGTGGCGCATGAAAGGTCATTAGGCGCACAATGACGCGATTGGCGCAGCAGTTCCATCCTTGCAAATTAATCGCGCGGCAAACGGTACCCGCAACGCTGCAACGTCGTCTGCAGAAAGCAAAAAAAAAAAACACAGAGGAGAAGAAAAAGCGCGTTTGAGTGTAGCCTTCTGATTTCCGACGCACTCTCCACCTCCATATCGATCCGACCTCCGTGCACAGGTTTCGTTTTCGCTTTCGAAGAGTTGCGTTTCCTGGCTTTATTAAAAGTATACGTGGCTCTGTAGCGAAATATCAATTGAGTAGTCTTCTGACACCATATTGGATAGCCTAATAAAATAATTAAAGAATGGATTTTTGGAGGTGTCAGTGTTTCTTTAAGGTGAAACGTGCGAATGATACAAAAGACGAAACTCTGTGCTTTTCTAGCAGCGCGGGTCTGCAGCGCTGTGCACGTTACGCTCGCCTTGGCCACGTAACACGATCTGGTTGACGCCGAGTGGAGGTCGACAAGCCTTAGAAATAAGCCCCCCTAAAGAAAAAAACCGCACAAATTGGACCCGACAGCAACGTCAGCTATCGGCTGGGATTTGTGTCCTCGCCGACTGAACACGAGTTCCACACGAACGCTGACGCTGCACTCCTGTCCAATCTGTGAACTCTATTTTGCACCGCAGGAAACTTCAACACTAATGCCTCCTTATCTAGCGGGAGTTGGGAGAGCTCCGGTGCGCTGAAAATGGTAGCATAAACAAAATAAACGAACGTAGAAAGACCAGCAACCAACTTAAACTTTGTTAAGGACCCTTTTTGTTTCGTATCCTGTGTATGTAAAGTTCTGCAAAAGCGCCGCGGCGTAGTGCGCTGAATTTCTGGTTTTGAAAAGATGCGCGGATACAATCATTATGAGCCCATTTCTCACTGCCGCCAATTTCGACATAAAGAGGACAGTGTGGTCTTGAGTTAATGATCCCTACAAACCATATGTTGACATTAGTACACTCCATAGTGTCCGACCAGCGAAGAAGTGCAGGGCGTGGCGAGCATCTTATCAACACTCCTTAGACTATGAGATCGCGATAGAGGCCTAAGGGTATTTGTAGCGATCTGATCGATGAGCCACACCCGA